CAATTTGACAAAGCATGTGGCTAGTATTTAAGAAAAGTAAAACCTGCCATCTGTGTCCATGTCCTCCTTCCACCACAACCTCCCTCCCTCTAAAAAATGTGATTATATTTGTGATTAAAAGAGACTATGCCAACCAAAAAAAAAGAATTAGTGTGTGTGTGTATTGCGTATATATGTGTAATTATAGTTATTTAGGAAAAGTTCTATTAATTTAAGAAAGTTCCCTCAAAATATTTATATTCAATGTCATAAACAAGGCAATTGAGGGCAATTAAAGATAATGTAAAGAATAAAATGAAATTCTAAATAAAGCAGGGAAAAATTACAGGGAATATTGGAGGGGTATAAGGGTATACTTAACAGATCAGGGAATGCCTCAATGATGAAGTGATATCTGAGCAGAGATTTGAAGAAGGTAAGGGAGTGAACCACGTGGTTATCTGGAAGAAGTATGTTCCAGGTAGAAAAACAAAGTAGTTGAAAAGTCTTGTGCTAGAGCTTGCTTGACAGGTTCAAAGAAAAGCAAGGAGAACAGCATGGGTTGGAGCAGAATGAAAAAGGAGACTAAGAGAAAATAAAATCAGGGTGGCAGGGGAAGGGTTGATTATACATAAATTGGTAGGTAATTACAAGAGCAATTTAAGAACTTTGGTTTTTATTCTTAGTGATGTGAAGCCATTGGAGGGATATAATATAAATGACATCTTTTAAAATATCACTTTGGCTGCTATATTGAGACTACTGTACTATGTAGGCAAAGGTAAAAGCAGATAAAACAGTTAAAAAGCAATAGAAATAAGGTGCAAGACAATAGTACTTGGGGTCAGGATAGTATCAGAAAAAATGATCAGATTCAGCATTGACTTTCAAAGTAGATGTAAAAATGTCTTGCTAAAAGATTCTAGAGTGGAAATGGTTACCAGAAAGAAAAATTCGTATGGAAAGGGCTTCCCTGAGAGAAACTAAGGCCTTCAATCAAGAGAGGCAGTCAGTTCATAGCTCACAGAGAGAACCAGGAACACAACACAATACAACTTCACTTTTTTCCCCCTATCTTTCTGATTCTTTTTGCTAGCGTTACACTCATTATTACCTTAATTCTGTCAGAAGCCAGAGGGCAAAGGAGCTCTCATCCTACAGTTCATTACCCTGGGACAATGAGCATGGTAGAGAAGTTGAAAAGTGGATCTGGAGGATTAGATAGACTAAAGATATCTAGCAAAATGAATAGTTGCAGGTCATAGAATTTAAGCTAACTAAGGGTAGAAGTAAAAATATAAAGGAGGTTTAGTGAAGTGATGGTAGAATTAGGAGATATTAAGCTCTGGAAGGGCTAAAGAATTGAGGAGTCCATGTATCAGAGAGAGTGAGGTGCAAGAGAGGGAGTTGTAGTTTAATAGTGGGATGACTGAAATTGAGATCATGGAAGAAGTAAAGTTATTGAAAATAAAAGGCCTAGGGTGTGACTATGGAAGGATGTTAGATGAGGCAGGGTACAAACAATGTTACTGGGAAAATGTAAGTCAAGGAATTATAAGGGTACTTTAGAAACAGTTTGAAGATAAGTTTCAAGATCACTATACATGGTATTAGAAAGAGTGCCACCACCTTAATCCTGGACTGCCCAGCCTCCAGAACTGTGAGAAATAAATTTGTTTTCCTTATAAATTACCCAGTCTGTAGTATTCTGTTATACCAACACAGAACGGGCTAAGATAATCACTGATACTTTTAGATAAGTAGAAAGAGTGTCAGTGAACCAGGGCTTAAAATCCTCAAGGAATGAGAGGAAGAAATTTTGAGTCTGAAAATGACTGTAACTAGGAAGGTAGTAGAAGTAATGCCTTTAGAAGTAATTAAAAGACAAAATTCCTCTGTCTTGTCTTTGAAATTAAAAGACCCTCATGAAATCTGCAAAATATCAGCTGGAATAAGTCTCAATGATGGAGGTTTGGGAGGAAGTAGGAAGAAAATTCTTTGATGATTAGTGGCATGCTATTAATAATAGCTTCTGCTATTATAAATTTTCCTTTGAAGACACTATTTCCATCAAGGATAACTGTCCTGTTGGGTAATTTCTCACAGATTTATTTTATTCTTCTTTCAATTTTTATGAAAAAATATTTTCTTCAAGAAAAATATTTGTTTCTTCTTTCAATTTTTATTAAGTATCAAATGTTATCACACAATTTGGCTATTTTGTGGATTATTTCTATCACTATTATTCATTATGAATGAATTATTCCTTAGAGAAATATAAAAAAATTATGAAGAGTTTCATGAAATAGAAGGAAACTCCATAAAAGGGATTCCCCAGAAAAGGAAAGACATGTTGGAGCTATGTAACGGATGGCCTGTTTAGCTCTTGAATATCCCATGGAATCTAAACATCAAGGTCAAACAGTTCTGCTGTAAATTGTGATGACATGGTGAGCATTTAAAAAATCATTTATATACTACAAAATAAAGTGGCGGACAGAAGTAAGTGGAGTATAGATAAAGCAAGATTTTCCATAAGTTACTAAATTTTCTGTAAGTTAATAAATTATAATTGGTATATGGAAGTTCATTATTTTTTGTTACAT